CTGCCACTGCATGAGCTCGCTAATACTATAGTCGAGAGGCATATAAATTCCTGTACGAAATGGGCAAAGGCTATACTGTCAGACCCTCTGCACCCCCTTTATTCACACCTGTCCCCTTGTATCTCATCAGGTAGGACGAGAAGTCAATATAAAAAGTTATATGCTCGTACTACTAAGTATAGAAATTCTACAATACCCTATTTAGCCCGTACTTTATGTGACGAAGACTCTGTTAGACGTGAAACTTACAAGTTACTATGTAATTAGCACAGTGAATCGACCCTTTCATCGTTCATCTTTCTGTATTTTATGGTGTCACACTTTCTATCGTTTAATTATAAATCTGCTATTTTATTTTAGTTGGTATTACTATTATTACTACAATTTTGTACTTTATGCATATTTTTCTCCGTATGGCATACAGTATTTTGCTATGTAGCTGCTGTAACAATCGTTTTATTATTATTATGTAATGTGTATTTTTAATTTTTTTTGTCGTTTTTGAGAAAATTAGATGCAATATTGTACTGAATGCTGAAAATTCCATGCTGTCTCATTAGTACTATTTTTGGAATAAAGCAAAAATTTATTTATTGATTTATTATTTAAATACGATCATAGATACCGATGTAGCCGTGACACTAATTGCTGTTCTATCACTTGTGTATTTCAATATCTGTGCGGTTTCCATGAGGCCGACTTGTATTTGCTCCAGAATCAAGCAAACTGATTTGAGAGGTAGGCGATTTTTCATTACATTGTGAAGTTGGATACGAATATGAGAGTGAATTATGAATTACATAATAAATTGCACTAGCCATATTTTGAATAAAAAATACATACTACTGATTGATTGAAATGAGTAGTAGGGAGCTGTTTATATAAATCTTTAGTCCTAGCTAGTCAACTCAGAAATGATCTAAATTTTGGTTGTGCGATTTCATCATTTCAGCCTGAGTACATTGGCAGTGAGAAAAACTGACTTTGATCAGGGTACTATTGAAGTTGTCAATGTGAGATTAATCATTCCATTCGGAAATTGTTTCTTCCTTGTAATTTCAGACACCGTGACTTGAAAGAGTTTGATAACTGAAGGAGTTTTTGGAACTATATTAAACAGGGGAAACTAATGACAACTCAACGACTGAATGTTCTCGTTCGCGTATAGTTCCTGCCTTTTTTGGGAGCATGTGCATTTCGTAGCTGATCGAGAACTGTGAGTTGTCATTTGCATGAATTGATCACACAATTGAGCGATAGTTTGATGAAGATAGCTATCTTTGCCATGGAAGTTGTGCTACTTCAACCGGTAGTTTCACTTCATTTTTGAAATACAATGATGTCTTCAGGAGATGAACAAGCTAAAAAAGCTCAGAGTACAGAGAGTCGTTCATCAGTGGACGTATCACTTGTAGAAGTTCTTCAGGACCTCGGAAACAGATATTTCATCAAGGAACATGTTTACAGAAGAAGGACGAAACTGGTCAAATTACCATATGTTTCAGTTTGAGTCTGCTAAAGAACCAACAATCGTTTCACTCGCTCACATGAATACACAGAAAAGTAAATTTAGTTTCGAATTTTGATAAATTTGGATATAACTGGCACATTAAGATGAATGGGATTACTTGTGAACTTGTTAAATTGGTACCTGAATCAACATTGTTACCAACAATGAGTGCATTATTCATGAGATATTTAAACAACACAAATCTTGAAAACATACTCTCCATCAAACATGAATCTGTTTTCTGACTGAAGTACAAGAGAGCTTTCCGTTGGGACACTAGCAGCCAAATTGCATACCTTCCTTTGCATGTTGAATGCAGTCTACTCTGTACATGTGAAGACTATTCCTCTGATGTAGGTGGTTGGTAAGGCTTGCTGAATTTAGTTGTTTGTGATGTAATGGTAAGTGAAATTGACGGTGTTGCGAAGCTTCACATTGTTCAAGAAAAGTTTCTTTATCAACGGAGCACATAAACTATTCCTTAGTTTCATTGATATCAAAAATGACAATCAGTTCGATTAAGTTTTCAACGGAGTGCTTTTTTATGATGAAATTTTTTCGGAGTATAAGAAACTTTGTGGTCCGTTCAGAGATTCTTCTAACATTTTATGAACAGACATAACTGGGAGGGGTCTTAGTCGCTTCCCAACCTTGTGAATCGTCAGAAGCTCATAGAAATCTGGAGTGTGAGATTCTCCTGATTGGCAATGTGTTTTATTCGTTGAACTGTATGTAAATAACGTTGAACACCGGCGACTAGTCAGCTCAAAAAAAGGCAAATCATCATCATTAGTGCTATTTACTTAGTACTTGGATGGATCCACAACAGTTTCACCCACTCTATTCTGATTGAGTAGTGCTAGAGTGTAAAGGAAGTAAATAAATTGTGTTTCCTCAAATGTGTTATGAGATTAAAGTTTGACAATAGAGGAGGGATTATACTTGTACACATAGAATGGTGAAGGTGATATCATCAGTTGATTAGATTTCATTTGGTTACTCAGGGGAGGATCGTTGAATATACATCTTCCGAAAGCATGGTATATACTCAGTAGTTTGAATGTCAGTCGCCTCAGTTATATAGAGTACACAAATATAGAGACAATTCGAAGGATTACATGGTATGTGTAGTAATTTATTGTAATCGTAGTATTAGTATTTCGAGATGACCGAATTACAAGAATCCAAACAAAACACAGAGAGAGCGGAATTCAGGAATTTGTATTTAGCGGAATTCTGATGAAATTTACATATGAAACATATTAGCAATCAACAGAAAGTACTTAAACAATACAGAGATAGAAATTGTCAATCACCACAGTATGTTAACAATCACTTTGCCTAGAAATTTTTTTCTATTCTCACTCAATGAGCACTATGAACCAAGTAAGACAAGAAAGATTTTCAGCAGGATTTCATAAGTCTTTCTCCGAAGCACGATCATAGATGTCCGATGAAGCGTTGACCATGAGGCTAGTAGTCTGCCACAAAAAAATGTTTCCGTTGGACCGTTTCAATTCCAAAATACACATCGATATAAAATCGCAAGTTTAGATGACTTAAAGAGTGGGGTGAAACACCCAAGTCAATATTAATACACTACACTGAATTCGCTTATAAAACAAATTGTTTCTGTGAGGGGAACATTGGTGATAAGAGACGTAACATCGAGAGACATCATTTTCTTCCGGGATACATTTTCACCAGTTATTGCTCAATTGACACACACCTATCCTTCCTTACATTCAATAACACTGTTGACCTTACCAAATTTCTAACCCTACTTTCTTGGTTCCACTAAGTTTCACGTAATTTCAAACTCTCACTTTCACATTTCAAGCCTTAACTGAGCAATTGTATCAATAATGTCAACCTTATTACTCAATAATCGAATAGTATACATGTTTGTCAAATATAATTACGACTGTACAGCCTGTGAAGACGATTTCGCCAATAAAGGAGGATTTCATTGGCTCAGTTGTCTTTCCTTTTACTCAATATATCAAGAATAGTGACACAAATGTCTTACAGTCACTTCACGTTGACACTCACGTCGATACACAAGTTGGTAGAAGTGAGAACTGAATAAGGCGAACGAGCAAACAACGACACGACCACACATACAATTCACAAATCACACTTCGATTTCCAGCCATTGTCAACTACTCACCATGCACATTGTAGAGGGCAATGACAGCGACAAAGCGGAAGACCGGATAGTGTTGCATCTCTCCACCAAGTTCTACTACTCTTCTTGTATTTCTTCTTGACAAGTGACTCACACGGCCTCTGACATTTATCACAATCTCACTCACTCAATCACATTTATACTTCCTGCTCACCCGCCCACACACAACTCACAAATCACTTAACACATTGTGCACGCACGTGGTGAGGACAGACACACACTCTCACCTGATGACCATTAATTCACAAAATATTGATGGTTTCATGGTTCATTGAGTATTCGCTTAGTTGTCACTTCATCCGCCCTCACCGATTATATCCGATTGTTTCGACTTGGTGAGCCAATTCTCTAATCTGGTTCAAAGTTCTCATCTTAACTGCGTGTGTCTCAAACTGATCCAGAGAAGTCGAGAAACAGTTAAGACGAGAAAGTTGAATGAGATCACGAAATGAGGTCGCCATTATATCGGAATGACCTAATATGATTGATGAAATGGAGGTGAGGTTACAATAGATGATTTATGGAATGAACCAAGCAACACAAATGAATACCTCAATTGTTTTGTGAATGAAAGACGCAAACATTTCATGCGTCGAATTCGTTGAGAATTATACCAGTTGTAATTTACTGCACAATGGGATAATAACACATGCAGACGACGTTACATGCATATGAAACGGTGAAGAAAATGGTTATCGAAGCCATCGAATAATACGATCCAAATTATGTTGTCTAATTTTACATTATCGACACTTCGACTTGGGGATTTCGCTAGTCCATAATTTACTAGATCACCAGGTGCGGCGTTTCCTACAGGACGTGACATACAATGTCCAGAAGTTCAAATTAGACGCAATCGATAAATTACACTAAGTAAAATCTACACAACACAGAACTTGACTCCAACTGCTATCATGAATCTCATTCAACCGATGAAAATTCCAGATACACGGAAAACATTTCACGATATCATCATGTGATAGAATCTTCAATGATTTATATGTTCAACATAATTTAGTAAATATGTGAGATGCTGGACACAAGCATCTCACATAAATGAAGCACAAATCAACACAAATTTTGGATTAATTGAATGAGGGCAAATCATTCGTTATATAACAAAAGCAAACAGCATTTCATGAAGATGAGAAAAGGTGAAAAGCCGAAGGAAATCAAATGTACAACAACAAGTCATTGGTCATACTGGATAATGTCTGTAATGAAAGGTCTGATGAGTATCTTGGTGGCAATCATTATTCAGAATTGACAAAGCCGTGGTGATCCAACAAAATCAGGTCTATATCACTCCACAAACCCCTTCGAAACAGTTGTTGCTACAACATTCCTCGTCACGTTGACACCGGCTGTACGATGCGCGACATTCACGGACACACTCGCCTGATTGATTTCCGATCTTTCGGCATTTGTTTGGTGAGCAGCATTCTCTGAGTCCACGCCAATCACAAGGTTCTCCCAGTGGAACGCAGATCTTTGAGGCAACTGGCAATAGAATTCAGACAACAGAAACATCAGCATTATTAACATTATGATCCTGATTGTTTATTCAATGTATTGCGGAAAATACACATTGAGTCATGAATGAGATAACAGATGATTCACTGGGAATTCGATAAAATCAGTTACACAGGCTGTACAGTCTCATTTATTATTTTTACGGAAAATGTGTAACTGTCCATTTTTGAGTATAAGGAGTGACATTGTTCGTATAATTGCTCAGAAATGGCCTCCAGAGTAAAAGCGGAAGTTAGAATTCATGCAATACTCTTTGTAAAAGAGAAAGAAACGGTTAGAAATTTGTTAAAGTTCAAATTGTTACTGGATGAGGAGAAAGGTAGTTGAGTGTCAGTTTAACAAGTGTGAAAAGGGAAAGATAACGTGCATAAGGAATATATCAGGGTTACAACAGGGAATTAATCATTAAAGTATGAGCAAAGCAATCATTGAAAATTAAAAATAGAAAATAATAGCAAACGACTATTGAAGAGATTAGCATTGTGGTAGAATATGAGACTAGATAAACGTTTTCTGCACACAGAGTTCGCGGTTGTACTGACGAATTTCGAAAGCCTCCGCCATACAGAAATGGCGAAACCTGACGCCATTTGTACTATTTGGCCTGACCTTGTAGATAATCTTGAATGAACACTCTGGTGAAGCTACGTGTCTAGAGTTGACGAGAATTGAGCTAGTAACATGCTTACATTGTCCTTTTGCTAACTATGCCAAGTAATGTTCAGAGATGCGTTTGTAAATCGTGCGTTTTGTGAGGGCTATGAGACACGCTCCACACGAGTTGGTGAATTTATATACACACAATGAAGTGGCCCATGGTGGTAGCTAATCCTTCACATGTGCATTAATCATTTGTCGGCTGTAGAAATCGATCCCCTAGCTCAGCTGAAAAGAAGACTTTCCTCACCGATCTGGATACGTAGTTCCATAGAATGTCAGCTGCGTTTTCACCTTTCAATTCAATGCTCCTAAAGAGCCCATTCTTCGGTGCCATCTTGGTTCTTTCAGGTTTTCGCTGTCGTTTTATTCTATTCTCGATAAACCTCCAAGGGTATCCATGTTTGTCAAAAAAACTATATTTGTAAAATCTCAGCGATATTGAAATGAGTAATTCCAACGTTTCGTTCGGAAATCTGGTCCGAACTTCTTCAGGGAAATTAATCGAAATTAACATAACAGGTCTATATATAAAAGGACCAGATTGCCGAACGAAACGTTGGAATTACTCATTTCAATATCGCTGAGATTTTACAAATGTCTACTTCTCACTCGGCGCCCAAATATTATAGAACTATTCTGTCAAATCTTGACTACAGTTCATTTGATTTATTTTGTAATCGAATTAAATTAACAAAGAAACTATGTAATTGGCACAATCATCGTGTTTCCACTCTCCGTTGTCAGCAACAGAATGTGTATCCTAAATTCGTAGCTGTCCAGTCACCTGACAACTTCAGTAGGTCGAATAAGGCAGCTGAATTTTCAGAAAGAAGACAAAGTAATAAGTTTGACAGGGTGCTTCAACTAAACTCTAATTCTAAACACCATAATTTTGAAAATACATCTAATCATAAAATTCTAGATACTAACAGTTTGAACCGACATGAAGGTGTCATGTTAGATGACGCATAGGAAATCCTGATTAATAAATAAGAATGGATATGTATCACTAACTAATAATACTTGGTCAAAGTTTCCCGACTGTCTATATCTACTTATGGAGACGTTAAGACATTGTTTTACAACTGTTTATCCGCACACACACACACACACACACACACAGACACACTGTGTTTAAAGTGTTTAACACAGGTAGATCAATATTTGTTAGTCTGAGGTCAAATTTTGATCAAAACTCGTACAATTTTGTGTATTATGCTTGTTAATATTGGTTTTATAAATCATGATTGGACAAAGTTTTTTAAAAATTAAGATGTTCCTTTTATATATAAACCTGTTATGTTAATTTCGACTAATTTCCCTGAAAGAGTTCGGACCAGATTTCCGAACGAAACGTTGGAATTACTCGTTTCAATATCGCTGAGATTTTACAAATATAATTTATTTTACAAATGTCTAATTCTCACTCGGCACCCAAATATTATAGAACTATTCTGTCAAATCTTGACTACAGTTCATTTGATATCCATGTTTCTTGTGAACTTATAAGACTTGCTCTGGTTCACCATCGGTTGAATCCCCAGTGCATATCCTTTCTATTCTTAGGGAGAAGCAGTGGATCAGATTTCTCTTCATTATCTCAAAGCAACCGAACTATGAAAATTCGTGTATTGAGCATTCAACCTTGGTTTCCTGTAGATTGATCTTTTGAAGAGAACCATCAAATCTCTTTTTTAACAAAACATCCGAGAAATGGAATTCCAAGTTCATCTTTGATTCCGATGTGAACTTAATGGCATGATGTTAGTCATTGAAATCCCTAGTTTTTACTTCGATGTTAGCATTCTCGTTACATATAATGAAAGTATAATCCATGTATGTTTGATGCAAAAAAACATTTATCGATAGTGGGTCGTAACACGCTGTTCTCTAGACTTACCAGGAAGTAGACTTCATGTTATGGACACAATAGCGACTCCATTGACACTACATCTCATTGTCACTAGAGTGTGTTATTGAACTTGAACTGGATACTGAAAGTGCATCTCCTTAATAGTTCCTTTAAACATCGGATCGAAACACCCACGTCCATATTAGTATCCATATTGAATTCGCATATAAAACAAATTCTTTCTGTGAGGGGAACATTGGTGATAAGAGACGTAACATCGAGAGACATCATTTTCTTCCGGGATACATTTTCACCAGTTATTGCTCAATTGACACTCACCTATCTTTCCTTACATTCAATAACACTGTTGACCTTACCAAATTTCTAACCCTACTTTCTTGGTTCCACTAAGTTTCACGTAATTTCAAACTCTCACTTTCACATTTCAAGCCTTAACTGAGCAATTGTATCAATAATGTCAACCTTATTACTCAATAATCGAATAGTATACATGTTTGTCAAATATAATTACGACTGTACAGCCTGTGAAGACGATTTCGCCAATAAAGGAGGATTTCATTGGCTCAGTTGTCTTTCCTTTTACTCAATATATCAAGAATAGTGACACAAATGTCTTACAGTCACTTCACGTTGACACTCACGTCGATACACAAGTTGGTAGAAGTGAGAACTGAATAAGGCGAACGAGCAAACAACGACACGACCACACATACAATTCACAAATCACACTTCGATTTCCAGCCATTGTCAACTACTCACCATGCACATTGTAGAGGGCAATGACAGCGACAAAGCGGAAGACCGGATAGTGTTGCATCTCTCCACCAAGTTCTACTACTCTTCTTGTATTTCTTCTTGACAAGTGACTCACACGGCCTCTGACATTTATCACAATCTCACTCACTCAATCACATTTATACTTCCTGCTCACCCGCCCACACACAACTCACAAATCACTTAACACATTGTGCACGCACGTGGTGAGGACAGACACACACTCTCACCTGATGACCATTAATTCACAAAATATTGATGGTTTCATGGTTCATTGAGTATTCGCTTAGTTGTCACTTCATCCGCCCTCACCGATTATATCCGATTGTTTCGACTTGGTGAGCCAATTCTCTAATCTGGTTCAAAGTTCTCATCTTAACTGCGTGTGTCTCAAACTGATCCAGAGAAGTCGAGAAACAGTTAAGACGAGAAAGTTGAATGAGATCACGAAATGAGGTCGCCATTATATCGGAATGACCTAATATGATTGATGAAATGGAGGTGAGGTTACAATAGATGATTTATGGAATGAACCAAGCGACAGTGTTGAATTGCACAATTCTTTTGTTTTTGACGTGGTTGCTTTGTCTGAGCTGTATAGTTAATTTGCGAAGCTTTCATCGGCCTCCTCGGCGTTATCTTCCACGGATCACCTCCAAGGTCACCAGGGGGGATGAATAATAAACTCGTGGAAAAATCTAAATGCTCACTTCAAATTGTAGTATGCACTGATGATGTCGCCTGTTAGGTCGGTGAAAGCTTCGCAAATTAACTATCCAGCTCAGAGGACACGACCACATCGATAACATCCACCTGAGCTACAAATCTTCTCTATCATTTCTATAATTATTTTGTGAATGAAAGACGCAAACATTTCATGCGTGGAATACGTTGAGAATTATACCAGTTGTAATTTACTGCACAATGGGATAATAACACATGCAGACGACGTTCCATGCATATGAAACGGTGAAGAAAATGTCTATCAAAGCACACACTCACAAGTCACAAAACTCACTACGATTGCCTGCGATTGTCAAATACTCACCGTGCACATTGTAGATGGCAATGACAGCGATTAAGCAGAAGACCGGAAGGTGTTGCATCTCGCCTTCTTTCACACTTTATTTCTTGCGTTTGAACAATTCTGTCGTTATTTCTTGTCTGCTGAAGAACTGTTGAGATTTCGGTGGATATAAGTGACTGAAAATTACAAACTTCTATTTTATAATGTAACAAACACACAGGATTTTGTAATTTTTAGCTCATGCAAAATCTAAGAATTTTATAAATTTTTTTCAACTCATTATGATTTTTATTTTAATTTCAAAGTACAAATATGTTGAGGGGTATATGATAGATAAGAGAAACATCTAGTCGAATGTGTTAGCTTACAAGTTTACAACTCAACTCTGTTAAATTATATTTCATAAGTGTGGAATTTGGTCAATGAGCTGAAATCACTGATATCGATGATTAATCAGTATAGTCGGGAACAAATTTCAGTTACCATGGCAATGAGAGATCGATCACACTCTTTTTCTCTGTGTATATGTTTGTCTACAATCATGTAGTAATTTATTGTACTTGAAGTATTAGTATTTCGATCTGACGGAATTATAAGTATCCAAACAAAACCCAGAGAGGGCAGCAATCAGGAATTAGTATTTAGCGGAATTATTATGCAATTCATATAAGAAACATATCAACAGTCAACAGTAAGTATTTTAAACAATACAGAGATAGAAATTGTCAATCACCACATCCGCCACACCTCGAATATCTCCTTGCGTATTTATAACGATGTCTCGGTTTGCTTGCAAGTAGCTTCGACCTAACTGATTCTGTGATATTATTTTCATCAGTATTATCTGGACTTATTTCTGAATTATCTACAAAATCAGGATTATTAGCGGAATCAATAATATTATAATTGGAACGACCTACTTCATTTATTGTCACTTTGTCCAGGTGTCCGTTATGAACTGAGTGATCTTTGATGTCTAATATCTTCACCACTCGATTTCCCATTTTTTGTAGTATAATTCCAACAGAAGGTCTATAGTCTTTCCCTTTGTAATAATGTACATTAGAAGTCGTGGACATCAGATGCTTTTTGAGAATTCGAGATTTGAAAAGTTTTGCAGGACTTTCACGGGTACTTGTATGCTCTGCATTCAACAGACTCAGTCTATGCATATGCAGTAATTCCTCAATTTTAATCAGTTGCTCTCTCATCTCATTCAGGTCTTTTCGTGTTTTCGACAGTTCACATTGTAACTCAGCTACCTCATTTTTGAAAACAGTTGATGCTTGAGTTGCTGAACTTGTAGTGGAGGTTTTCGTTGGATTAGCTTGAGTATTTTGAAAGGTTGAAAGACACATTGACTCCATTTTACTAGACAGCTTGGGAGAATTATAAGAATGTTGAGCAACATAAGTATTCGAACTTCTGCAAACCGTCTTGATGTGTCCAACTTTACCACATTTATGACACTTAGCACCCCGAAAACGGCAAGTGCTTCGTAGATGTAACTTTCCACAGGATAAACACGGTTTAATGTTTTTGATCTCTCGCTGCATTCTATTACCTGTGGACGGCAGTTTGGATTTCTTTCCATGAACACTTGTATTTTCGACTTTAGAAAGCATAACATCAGACACTGACGTAGTGGGAGCAGAGTATTCATTATTGACATCTTCATATGTAATACATACATCTTTAGCAGTTTGAAAGGTACAAGAAGGAATCTGAATTAACTCTTTCTCTAATTAAGGAATATTGATTCCAGCAATTAGACGATCACGTAGTTGAGTATGCAGCTGATCTCCAAAGTTACACTTTGAGGCTTGAATTTGAAGTTGAAGAATAAAGTCTCGAATCTTCTGGTTGGGAGAACGTACCAGTTTGTTGAAGTGAGCCCTCTCTCTGGTCTCAAAAGTAGTTACATGAAAGTGATTTATCAGAAGTTCACGGATCTTGTCATATGACAGAGAAATGGGTTTATCTGGAAACGCCAGATTCTTCACCAGGCTATACGCATCTGGTCCAATAATAGTAATGAAATGTGCTGGTATTTTGTCATCCCGAACATTCTTTGAAATGCACCACGCATCGAAGCATTCCAAATAATCAGCAATCTCCCGCGGAGAACCATTTAGAGGGAATTTTCCCAGGTTATTTAGTTCCATCGCGACGCCAATTTGTAGTAATTTATTGTAATCGTAGTATTAGTATTTCGAGATGACCGAATTACACGAATCCAACCAAAACTCAGAGAGGGCGGAATTCAGGAATTTGTATTTAGCGGAATTATATTGCAATTCATATAAGAAACATATCAACAGTCAACAGTAAGTATTTAAACAATACAGAGATAGAAATTGTCAATCACCACAAATCACTTCATGAAGTCGTATTAAATTTAATATATATTTACCGATTAGGACATTTAGACAAAATGTTGCATATCCGTGAGGTGTCTATGAATTGTATTTTGTGAATAGATATATTTCTATTTAGGTGGAAAATTTTTTTGGACAATGCTCAGAAAACTGGACAGAAGCTATTTTTCCTGTCCTTTCAATGTAATTGGTAACACACTGGCAGATAAACTTGTAGATGCTTTTGGAAATACCATCAGCAGAGTACTTATCCAGTTTACATTGACTTAGTGAGCATGTTTTGCAGTATAACGATAGCAGCTTAGCTACAGGGAGACATCGTTTTACTGCTAGTCTTGTTCTTTTTTGAATTCTTTGGGCTACTGTTTCTCCTTTGAATGCAACAAAAATAGAGGCATGTGGAGTCGATAACTCATCTATAAAACTGAAATATACTGTCTCAGTGCCTTTCGTTTTCTTCGAGTTTTATTCCAGTATTTCGTACATTCCTCTACAGACTTTCTAATTTTCCACAGATGAGGGTTTTATTTTCTCACATTTTTCTCTAATTATACTTGATGATAAATCCCTTGAAGTATTCATTTCCCCTTAGGTAGTTTTTAACAAAACCTATGTGTTCTTCCAGCTAGGGGGATAAAGACAGCTTTCTAACACTACCTTAGAGTGGTCTCACTAGTACAAGCTTACAGCTTATAGGAGAGAAACAGTTTTCGCGAAGATATTATCCGGTCCAGGTTTTATTTCTATAGATGGACTTTTTGGTCATACTATCTTTTTTCTGGGCTTTAATTTTGCGCTACCAAAAATGTCATCTTCCATCATTTTACATTTTGCTACAACTAGCTTCCATATTTTTGTTTTGATCAATCACAAATGCCTTCAAATCGTGTTATTCACAACAGCGTATTTTGAGAGCCTTTTCAGGCAAAGTTAAACTATCGTAGTCAAAGCCACAGTGACCTCGAACAAAAAAGGTTGCATAATCGTTGAAAAATATACTCAAATATATATTTCATACTTGATGTCACACCACATAGTTGTAGCTTATGTGTCGTAAGAATGTCTCCGATTCAACACACAGATGATCTATAGAGAAGTTGCATTTACCATGCGCGATATGCGCATTGGTCCAGATGACTGGTACTTTGAGATCCATTGATATTTCTGATACTACTCTTCAACCTACCCTCAAATCTTACCATAATTCTAAAACTAACTTTAACCCGAAACCTGACCTTAACCCTAGACCCTAAACGTTTAGGATTTTAAGATTGAGGTACCTTCATCTTATATATATATATATATATATGGTGAGCTGGCTGTTAGTCAAAATTGGTGGACAATATTTTACGTCGATGTTCATGTCCCCAACACTGGTCTTGAGAAAAATGAGAACAAAGGCTTTGCGTAGGCAGATACAGTTAACATATAGATGATCTGACATTCAAGAAACAGTCACAAAGAGATGCGAGGTTAACTTTCCGTGAGAAACAACCAGTCAGAGGACTGTGTTTTTCTGCCAACAGTAATCTATAATAATGTACATAAAAATCTATAAATATGTGTTGATTTCCTTAATAAACGATCAGTTTGGCAGGCCCTTGTCTTCTGTTGTTACATATATATACTGGACAGTATTGATCGAACATACGCCATCCTTATTTGTAATTAAGGAGGAAAGGTGCTTGCCGGCTGTGTCTTAGAAAATCCAGTTGATTATATCCACTAGGTGAACGCATGTAACTGGTCTTCAAGAAGACCTATTTTAGAGGCTGGCGGCATTGACGTTTGTACGGAGTATATTAACGCAAGGTATTCGTTCCGCGTAGACCAAAGGCAAAGAAAACACCACAATTGATCGTCCAAAATACGAGATATATTTCGGGACCAAATCGGAGTGCGAGATCATTGCTTAGTTGGCTAGGGATCGTGCACGAATTGACATGACGGAGTACAAAATGACGTGGATGCTTGACCGGAAGCCTTCAGTTAAACAAGTCGACTTAAATAGTGAGAGTCAGCACCCAATGTTCAGTGATGAGTTCTGTGGTCAATAATTTTGGGGAATTATTTACCGCTACAATGCAAACTAATCTCTTCCTAAATAACTTCAGTATCTATGACAACTATTGTATATTAATGCCTGAAACCTGTATACATAAAGAAGATTTATTCAGTCATTAGATGTCAAGTAGATACAGCCGCTTAAAAACTAATAGAAATTTCTCATTTGTAGATTACTTCTTCAATCATGTAGACGTTATTCAGCGAGTAGGATCCGCCAGGCCACCAACATTCGCGTTCAGTGATGTTTGTTAGCACTAAATTTAACTAGGAATGAGGGGAAAGCAACAATCTAGCACAAAAACAATCTTATTAGGAGTCGGATAATATGGTAAGGCGGGGCGTAGGTTTTTATGATGCTATCCCTCGGATACTTTAGAAATATTGGATAATCTTGAAAGGTTGCGTGGTTGTGAATGTGCATTCCAAGGAGGGCAGGAGAGCTCTGGAGGTGGCTGCTCAGTCCTTCAAACTAATTGGCTGTAACATTGACGTAGGATTAGCATGAAAGTTCAGTCGTCCTAATCTTCTAAAAGATTACGGAATAGTAAGTCACTAACTTGAATGTTTTAGGAGACACCTTTCTAAAGAGTGTAAACCACTGGGTAGATATAAAGAAGTCATATAAAGGCATTTACTGAAGGGATACTGTCAGCCAACTCAGAAACTGTCAGTGTCCAGCTCTTACTACGCTGGACCTCACACTGTCCTTGGAAGACTTTCAGAAACAGTGTGTAATAACTGAGACTAAAAACCAAAACACGGATTGGCGACTCGAGAATCCTTTATCCTTAGGCCAATATGTAACCAACAATAAGGTTATTACACACAAGGTCTAAGAATAAATGTTATAACAATAAATCACGGTAATACTTCTGATAGTTTTTTATCTTCCACTGAAC